GGAGAAAGGTTTGGGGTTTCGATGCCACGATACCAGAGGATGGTCTCGAGTTCACGATCGATGCTGTAATTCGAGTTTACTGTAAACTAACGATCGTAACTCTGGTTGAATAGCGTTTCTTGCGCGTTTCAACCGAGACACAACGAGAGCCCCTTGTCCCAGGGATGTACGATCACGTTGAATTGTGAAAGACCAGATCGATCTTGAATTCTGTCACGTAAAGCGAAGACGACACGAAATAAATTGTATCGCACGGTTTTCGAAACATCGCGCGATGGCCCGCCATTTTCATGTCACGATCAAGGGTCACTCGTCTTGGGCAATAACATTTCACGTTGAAAGAGAAGAAAAGAAATCGAAACCTCGTTAAAATAGAATTTCGCCAATTTTTAATTCAAGATATCGAAGATATCGAAAGTACGGAAATTTTAGAGCGGAAAATTTCAAACTTAAAAAGTTCAGCGTCGGAGACTTTAAAACGTTGAAACGTTAAAACGTTGAAACGTTAAATCGTTAAAACGTTAAAAACATGTGACAGTTTCGCGACAGAATACGCGAATCGGCTGCAGGCAAAATTTTCAAATATTCGAAAATCACAAAATTCAAAAGTTTAAACGTCGAATACTTGAAAATTCTAAACTTTAAACATTGCAATAGTGCGAAATTCAGTAACTTGGAGATTCAGAAATCTTCTTAATACTCGAGATTTCAAAAATATAATAATCAAAAAAATGCAAGAGTACGTAAAATTTGCAAATTTAAAAAAAATTTTAAATTCTAAAAATTTGTTAGAATTAAATTAACGCCATGATCAGGAAATCGTGGTAATCGTAAATAGAAGTTCAATTATTGCACGCGATATCGCGTCGGAGTCGTCGAAGAAAGAAAAAGGATACTTGTAAGGTAAAAAATCATCGTTTTCGGAGTTTCACGAAGGAACGAAAGTACATCCCTGGAACGACCGAATGCTTTTTTCCTACGTGTATTTTCTTCGTAACTCGAAGCGGCCCCCATGGGCAAGTTTTCCTTTCCTTTTTGCATGGTGAACCTCGATCGCTTTCTACGCGACACGATTGTTTCCTTTCTTTTCTTTTTTTACGCTGTTTGGTGAGAGCGCGATTGACGTTGCACCATGAACTAACACATAGATTATTATTATTCCTATTATTATTATTATTATTATTATTATTATTATTATTATTATTATTATTATTATTATTATTATTATTACTTCTATTATCATCATTATCATTACTACTACTACTACTACTACTACTACTACTACTACTACTACTACTACTACTATTACTACTGCTATTACTACTACTACTACTACTATCATCATTATTATTATCTTTATTATTATAATGTTCTCGTGTAGCGGATCTATTCATTGAAATCCTCTCCAATGAATACGTATACTTATACACACGCAGTTACTAAGACACAGTGGTATAATCGGCGTTAACTGATCGAAATTCATTTCTTTTTCACCATTCAACGCGATCGTAACGATCAGACTGACGATAATATTCCTGTTTAAACGACTATTTACGCTCGGTTTCGCGGTATCTTTGAACATCTGGTAACTATTTCCGGTTTGTCTGGTGATATGGATCGTTTCTGGTGGTCTAGTTCGTTTTTGGTTGACCTGGTGTTTTTAGAAAGGCGAAGTCGAGCGTCAAAGTGCCTAAACTCGCGTTGGTGGCGAATAGAATGCGATCCACGGCTCGGTCTTGACGATCGATCTCTCGTTTTTTATGTAAATACACAGAAGAGTCGGTTGGGATAATAATAAACCATTACCAGATACACGTATTTTTTTCATCTTTCGCGTCTTCTTTTCCAATGGATCTTCCTAACGAGATTTCTTTCAAAGACAGAAAGATAATTGACCGCCGAAAAATAATCAGATCGCCGATATCGATACTTCGATAGTTGGTGACGATTTGGAAGAAGCTTAATTTTGAATTGCGCGCAATTCGAGTCACTAAAGATGCGTACAGTGCACGATTTCAAACGAAAAATCTGTAGTAGGTTACGAAGAGAGTATTTATCGACGTTGCCGACCCATTCTATGGTAACGATCGATAGTAAGCCGTAGGAAATGGAAGAGGGCGTACGAAACAGCGTGATTTTCCAGCAGGTCGGTATTTCACGATCTGAGGCGCAAAGTTCCGTTCAACGTCATCTCTATTTCGTTCTTGGTTAATGGAAAGAGAAGGGTATAAAATTTCCTACATCGGATAAAGATTTTAACGAGCAAACCAGGCGTCGATAAGATAGATAGCTGTAGACAAATATCAAGTAGCCCTCCGAAGGAAAATTAGTTGCCTGACTCGATAGAACCATGTACGTGATATGTATATATTGTACAGATTATTTTGATACAACGCTACAGAAATACATGTATCGATATTTTATTTGAATTTAATATCAAACCAAAAAATTAAAAATAAAAAGATTTCGTAAATGTACGGTTCTAATAATTCCAGTTACTTCAAGTTCAAGAGTACATATATGGTATGAATTAATCGAGATAGAAATTCTTTACAATCGATCCATACGAGCAAGATTACGAAGAAGCAGAATTTGTTATTTTAACTTCAATTTAATCGTTTAATCGTTGGTTCGATCATCCTACTAATTTACCGTCTAATTTTTCTTTACAAAGAAGGAATTTTGTAGAATATTTTGGACTTGTGACTTAGTGGGTGGACCTTTCACGACGCTCCGTCTCGAAACGAAATTTCGCCGATGGCATAGGTAGGATAAATTTGGAACAACCATCTCGAACGAAACACGCCTGTGTTTTACGTTAGTTCCGCAGTTAGTTTCGCTTCTCCAACGCCGCGATAAAGAACTCGATATACCGCGATGTTTAACAGGTGTATCTCGATAAAAACGAAGTAAAATTATCGTTTGTCGAACGACGTTTCGCGCGAATAATAATTTCTCTATGAAGTTCGCTTAGACGAATTATTATTATCTTGGTAAAATATTATAGGTGTTTCAAGTGTAAAATACTAAGATACGAAATTTAAATGTAGCGAGCGTTTTAAGCATAAATTGTTTAAATATAAAGAATGGAAAATTATAAGAACGTGCATATAGTTGAACGAATGAAAATGTTTCATACGTGTACGTAGGTTCAGGGGAATAGAACCGTTGAAATATCGGAATTACGATAGAAACGAAGTATTAAAATCACGATAAACCATAATTTTTGTATTCCTTCGTGGTTCCGTGTCTTCGTAGACGCACGAACGATTTATGATGCGATTTAAAAGAAGTTTAAAATCAACGCTTCCTATGCAAACTATAATTCTATATTTCCATAACAAATAACGCTGTGGTGTTCTTCGAAGTTAATGGCGTTCGATGTAAAATGTGATTTTCTATCTCTATACATCTATACAGACGATGCAATTGAATTTTCGAAAATTTATGCTTTCAATATGAAATGTAATTTTTTACCTCTATCAACGGACAATGTAATGGGATTTTTTAAAACCGATGCTTTCACTATAAAATATAATTTCCAGCCTTTTTCTCAAAATCTTATCTTCATATAGACGTATCGTACCGATAGATCGAGCCATAATTTTCTATCTGTAAATAATAACTCGAATAATACTGTTATCTTTGGTTTAAGTTAATTTTTATCTTTTCGATTCATATTACATTTAATCTAATATAATTTAAGACATTTAGTTCGTTTGACGCGGTATTTTTGATAACGGTAAGATACGATATAAGAAAGATCGCATAGGCCTCTAGATTGCTTTCCTACCGATCTAACGGAACTCGAACCACAGGAAGATAAATCAAACGCACGTTGCGAAGGAGGAAATCAATTTTTATGCTCTACCATCGTCCTTCTTTTAGATCGATATCGGTAATACGCTTTCTTTGCCATCTCTCTTCTTACACCATACAAAATAGACCATTAATTAATACGCTCCTAGATATATTCATCGATTCGTTTCTTATATCTGATAATCCATTAATTTCCATTTATCGTAATTCTCGATCGATTCGATAACTCTAAATTGTTCCGTTATTTTAGATTTTTATAACGTACGTACATCGTACGTCGCTCGATAATTTTCTAATTTTTAAATACTCGAGACGCCCGTTTCAGCTTTCTTCGAACGCAACGTTACATCTTATTCCAAAGATATTAATTCTACGATTCGCGACATGGTTCGCTATCCAAAATGTACATACTCGTGTCTCTCGGTGGTCAGCAATTCCTAACAGCTATGCGTTTACTTTAGTTGTTAAAATAATCGCCGTGTATTGTACATACACTAGCCCTGAAACGTATCCGGCAAACTTGCCCGTCTTCTACAGCATGTAATTTAATTAGAAGGTCGCTGGCATACGGAGGAATTTGTTACGATTTTATTCCGTATCGTCGTCGCAGCGTGTGCGTTTACGCATTGAAAATTACCACGCGATCAAATTCGCGTTTAGAAACTAATGTACGTAATAAGATTCTCAAACTTTGTGGAATCGATTTGCTGTCTGACAAATGCTGTCCGAAGAATATTAAATAAAAGAACATTTTTTCAAAGAAATCGATCAATAGCGAATCGAAATCGATTCGATTAATTTTCGTATCTAAAATCTCGAACGATCGCAAAACCTACGTAAAATTCATCCAAAATGGTACTATGTCAAATTTGCAGCGATTATATCGATTTTCAAAATTCTATTTCAAATTTACCTAAAACAGTGACGAATAATTTAGTACGCTGTCCGTAAATACTTGAATGTTCGATTTAAAAAGCGTTTCAAACGCTCGATCCAGCTCTAGATCATCGAACATCCACGAGCGAACTGCGAATATCGCGAAACATTTTCGAAAAACGCTGTACCTTTTGTTTCTGAAAAAAGGATGTAAGAACGTTGGTTGATAAAGCGACTGGATATCGTGGAAATTCAATGGTGTGAGAGGAATATCAAGAGACGTATAGGAGAAAAGAGAGAAATTCGAAGAAAGATGAAGAAACGCGGTGAAAGCGCGTGAAGGAAGAGAACGTGCTCCGAAGCGGAAAGCACGATGCCGCGTTCGCGACCGGAAGCGTTCGAGCTGATGGTCGAGGCCGAGAAGCCCTCCAAGTGCATCAGGTTTCTACGTTTCCTGTGGAAGTTCTTCAGATGCGTTTTTTCCCACGTGTCGTTGGTTTCGTTGGTCGTGCTCTACTGTCTGATCGGCGCGTACGCGTTCGAGGCCCTCGAGGCCACCCACGAGAAAGAGGTAGATATATCGAATTTTAATTCCCTTGTCTCTTTAATCCTGGTTTACGAAACCGACGGTACAACGAATAAACCTCGGATAGCTAAAGAAAGTAGATCGTCGAATCGTTATCATCTTTTCTCTTAAATTTTTCCGTTAAGATCCGTTAAAATACGGCATTTTATTACGAGTGGGATTAAATATCTCGTTTTAGAAACTGCGTTCAACGTCTATTTTTTCAAACTTGCTTGTACATTATCGCGTATCTTATCGCCAGACCGAGCGTATTTTTACGAATGCAACCGAAGAAATTAAATCCAGAGGGTCGTTTTACCTTCTAGAGTAAACTATAACGAGAGCACTTTAAATATATTATTTTCGCGTATTATGTGAATTTTTGCATTCTGAAATTTTTCACCGGAGCATAAATATTCGTCGACTAATTATCATATGTTATATTGTTACGTTCGTCGGTAAAATAAAAGTCGGGATTTAAACGCTATTTTTATTCTTTCTTCTCGGCGAAGATTTGCAATGTTACATTTTTATGATGTTCTTTTGTAGAGGTTTCAGGGAAAAAGTAGTATCTGGTTCATGGTGAAGTTAGCCTGGCTATATTATGCCCAGTGACGTTTTTCCATTTCTTTCTCGCTAATTTTTTCATATCCGTGTTCCACGTTATTCGCGTATTTTAATGTTTCGCGTTTTTTTCTAATTTCTTTTCCTTTCTTGGCTTTCTTTCGATCAATCGGTCAATCGCGTAATTTTGATCGTTTTCTTCGAACTCTGATTACGATTGCACGTCTTTTTTTTTATTCTTTCCGTCTTTAAAGTACCCCTATTCTCTCTGCATGAAAAGTCCTGGCTGACCGAAGGTTCTCCGATAAAAATTCTGTTTCGGCAATTTTTCTTCTTCGAACTCGAGATATATTTCACGCCAAAAGCTACTTTTTCACCTTTCGCCATCTCCTTTCTCCTATTTTAATCTCTTCTCTAGTACTCTATTATCATTCGTTCAGTTGTACCTTCTTACATTCCTCCGCTCTTCTACGTTTCTCACTTCATTTTCTTCTCCTGTTTCCTTTAAACTTCGCTGCTCCGTCGTTTTTTTCTTCTACTATTAAATCCATTTATTTCGATAAAACCTAATGACGCGATATCTCCGCGACAAAGACATCGAATAAAACGAAAACACTTCCATTTTCATTATCATTTAACAACAGCGAAATACAGAAATAAAAATAAACGCGCAATTTGTCTCAGCCTAAATAACGACACTTTATCTTCCCCTCTTACAATTCTCATTCCAATTCCCTTTATCGTTCATCCCCTTTCCCCTTTCTTTAGTTTTCTTCTTTTTTCTCCTTCTCTCTCTCTCTCTCTCTCTCTCTCTGTTTGTCTCTCTCTCTCTCCCTCTTTCTTTTATCCAGATCAAGAAGAGCATTAAAGACATCAGAGGGAACGTAGCAGAGCAGCTATGGAAGATCACGAAGGAGGTAGAGGTTCTGATTCGTGAAAATTGGACGGACAAAGCGTTACGTGAATTAAAGGTATCGGGCCGTCTCATCCGCATTCGGTGACCAGAGATCGAACTCGAGTTTCCTCCGCCATCACTTTCCCGCTACTTTTCTTCGTAGAGCTTCGAGAACAACCTCGTGTGCATGATGGAGAAGGAGGGTTGGGATGGCAGCGAGGGCGAGGATGACATCCAATGGACCTTTGCTGGCGCTCTCTTTTACTCCATCGTCGTCATTACTACCATTGGTAAGACTAATCATTTCGTCTCGCTTATCTTCAACGGACGATTATCTATCATAATCTTCTTTAATAGTTTTCACGAATCGTCTTAATTTTTTTTAATGGTTAGCATCGATTGTAATCATTTAGTTTTTCTTATTCTCAAGAGATAATTAATTCTCATACCTTTGATAATTTTCACGAATTATCCTGATTTTCTCTAATAGTTATTTACTTAACAACGAAGAACGTTATCGACAAGAGCGAAGGATATTAGGAGAGCGGTAGAATATTATCGAATTCGTATTTTTACAAATATAATTAGGAGAAACGAAATCTAGGTAGGTTTAATAGGAAGTCTATTTTCTACTAAAACGAGTATTATAACGAACATTATACTTTGAACATTAGCGGTTGAATAGCAGTGGCATAAGAAGTCTCGATAGGTAAAAGAAGCAGAGAAAATTCATAGAAATAGAAGAAATGTTCTTAACGATAATCTTACGTGACATCAATTATCATATTTATTATACGAGGTTTATATTACAACGAATATCGAATAAGTTCAATGAAAAATCTTTGGTATCTTGTTAAAAGTGTTTGAAGTCGTCGTGGCTCTTTTAAAAACAGGAAGTTCGATGATTTTTAGATTGGAGCCACGACAGCGGGTTCTGTGGCTAAAAATAAGGAGAAATGTTTCATGAATTTTCATGCTCGTCTAAAATTACGTTCCGCTGTTGTTCTTTTTTAATTTAACTGATTATATTATTTATATTAACTTTCTATAACCAGAATGCATTGCCCACTCGCGACACGAGAAACGTCATTGCTTTGATCAATTATTGAAAACTGAAATTAAAATTTTGGTTTGAAAATTGGTACTGATAATTGCCATATCATTTTACGAAAAAACGTTATACCAATAAAATACTAAAGTAAGGTAGACGAATAAAATAAAATCTAAAAGTTACAAATACATACGTGAGCACTAAACGAATCGTGTTAGTAAATTTCGATAAAGAATTAATAAGATAAAAATAAATACAATACAGACGAGTAATGCGTGAAATACAATGTCAGATAAATCGTGTCAGATGATAGATAAATAAGAATTAAAGGCAATTGTATAGATACACGAGTATTTCCGAGTCACATAGAGGGTTAACAACTAAGTATCTACCTTGTGAATACCGTACGTACTTCTGAAAATATTTCATTTCCTTCAGAACAATTTGTTAAAGTATTTTTTCCCTTTGATATTCAACTACATCGTAAACGCTCGCGCGTCTTCCATTTCAACCTATAAACAAACTATCTAAAAAATATTCGAAAACAAATATCCAAAGAGTATCTATACGAATTACGAATAATATTTGAAACTACGCATATATAAATATCGAGTAACGCTAGGTATCTCTCTGATTCAAGTATTTTTTCTATAAAAATTTAACGAATATCTTGGCAGTTTTAACATTTTCAGAAACATCCTACACCGCGACATTTTTTTAATAATTTCCTCTCATACGCTGTCCAACTCTTTGATCCGACTCTTCGTTCAGGCAGATCGATCTTATTAAGAATTTACAAGAGGAAATACGCGAAGAACCGTCGGAAGATCGATCAGGCGAGAAAAGGTTGCCGTCGAAAGCCTCGTGTAAATGGAGCTTAAACTTTTTCATCCGCGTTAGCGTTTTGCGTCTGATTTTTCTTCAAGGACCGACTGTAAATATCAAAGTCGTTGTAATCGTAATTTTGAGGTCGTGGATAGGGCTCCGGATTTTCCCCTGGAAAATGGTAATTTCCAGGATATCTGTTAGCGCCAGTGAAACTCCCCTGGGGTCTTCGATTACCATAATTGTTCGGCGATTGCACGAAAGTCGCTGGTCCGTACTTGTTAGGACCACCCTGGAATTTGTGTAAACGTTATTAAAGTTAACCGATACGATCGAAGCTATAAATAGGCTGCAGATTTTTATGCTTTTATTGGAAAATCGCAGGTACAGAAGTCTATAGATTGCATATACTATACAAAGACATATATAATACTCAAACTGTAATACTTGCTATAATATTCGGTAATCGAAACAATTTTTTACCGTACTTCTATTTTTTGTAATTATGTTCATAAAAATATGAATTTGCATAAGTATCCGCAGTCTAGTTACAGATTATTCTTTCGAGTACAGACGTATTTCGTTTCTTTTCTCTTTCTTCGGAAATCTAGATTTTTCGAATTTTTAATTTTGCCATCGTTGTATTTTGTTAGACTTCATTTGGAAACACGTTCAAAAGCTTAGATTTCGGTAGGAGATCGAGGGATCTCGTTCAATTGGCAAGTTGAAAAATTCAAACACTCGACATTGATTCTTCTAGAATTCGATTTTGCGCGATCTACGATATCAAAAACTGAGTAACATTATCAGAAAGATATCGGAAGTTATAGTAAAATTAATAGTAGTATCGGTAAATGTCAATATCGATAAAACGGTACCGGATACGAAGGATGTTGTCCTTGTCCGTATCGTCCGGAAACCAACGCTGGATACTTTCTGCTATTAAAACAGCAATATTTCTTATCCTTGGAGCAGCTTCCCTGATTAAAAAAATGATTAGAAATATTAATAAGCATATAGTTATAAAGTTTCAAAGATATCGATCATTTTTCCATATTTCTTACAAATTTCAATCCGCTAGAGGGGCAATTGAAGCTGTATCTGCATTTGCAAGTGTCGTATTCTCTATATCGAGGATCGTCCTTCACCCACGATGGCACGAAACCGTTTTCCAACTCGCCATCGTCGATATTTGCGGTGTAGGAAGGTCTGCACGGGTTAAAGTAAAAGTAAATATTATTCAACGGTTGCTTCTTTAAGTGATATAATGGTTTAAGCTTTTTGCAGTTTCGATCCTGCATTTAATCAGGAAACCGATAGAATTTAGTATTTCCAGAAAATATTTCTAGTTTAAAAGGAATAATATACATATATGTATGCAACAGTGATAAAGTTAGGTGGAAAACTCTGCGTATATACGTTCTTCTTTTATTTTTGCTCGCTTGCTGAAAGTGCTTAAATCTCTATTATACGTTACTTTTCAGTTTGTCATTGGCATACTAAAAATTCAGATTCGATCGATCGCCGACAAAGCCCGATATCGAAATGTGCTCAAATATTCTCCAGCCGCCGATATTCGTAACAGAGTTGAACAATCGAACTCGAACGAACCCCAAATCCAACCTAAATCCGATCCAACCCCCGGATCGTGTAACTCCGAATGTTTGGCCGCTTTTCATAAAATCCAACGGTGGTGCAGATCATTCGATCGTGCAAAGCCAATCAACGTGGAGGACGCGAACGACGAAAACAGACTTACTGGGTTGGAAAACAGCGAGAAGATACGAAATACCTTTTTATAATGCCTGTTGGTCCACCAGGACCGACGAGAACTTCTTTGTTGCCAGGATACGACGGTGACACAATGGGTCTACTGTTAGAACCGTAAGGTCCGGTGCTCTGTGGTCTAAATCCTACCAAAGGTCTTTCGTGGCCGGGATCCTCGAGGTTCTCGTTCACCTGGTACCTATAACTGAACAAATAGCTCCGATGAACAATTTTCTTCCGATTTTCTTCTTCTTCTTCTTTTGTGCAGAGCAAAAGGGAGAAAAGTTTTTAAAGATATTTAAAGCCATTATCTTAATTGTTGGCTAGAGAAATTGAAATCGAAAAAGGGAAGGTAGCGGAATGATCAAGGGATGGACGTGGCGTATTTTGCTGCTGGAGCCTTTTTCACAACGCTCTTACGTTATAAGTTCCGATGAGAACGGATTTGCCACGTTAAAGTTCCACGTCGCGACATCTCGACCAATATCGAACCAAATATGAAATGTTTACATCTCATCTCTAAAAAATATCAAACTGCTGCAAATACATTAGAATCCACGTCGTAAACCACGATTCGTCGATATCTCGCGTTCCATCGAAAAGAAAGAAAACCCAAAAATTCAACACACCTTGTTCTATCGACGTCGCTCTCCTGTTCGTCTCTGCGCTTCCATGCCCAGCCATCTTCTTCAGCGACCACCATGGCAATAGCGACGCAACAAAAGAGAAAGAAGGTCGCCATCGTTCCACGAGAAGGCGTGATTTCGTCTGGTTGTTGCTTTGGACAGCCTCACCGGTGAATATCGCCGACGGTCGACTAAAACGAGAGTGAAAGTGAATCCCGTCTTTATATATGCACCGTTGGAAGGTGAACCGTGGCACCGTGTGGCTCGTTTCGAGGTCCCTTCGATAGCGATCTCGGATCAACAGTTTTCGTCAGAGGGTGAATCACCCCTTGTGCGGCCCGTTTTAATCGCAGGTGTTCTCGTTACGCGGATTAGAATCGTTTAGAGGGCTTAGAGGTTTCAATCTGTAAATCGACGCGAGGAAATTGATACTGGAATATTTGCTTAGCGTCGAGCGTGAGCCGAATGTTAGAAATTTGATGGGAAAATGAATAACGAGCAAGCTGAAAGGTAAGAGAAGAAGAACGTAAGAGAAATGGATACGACGACGGTGTGCACGTTTATACATTTATGGGAAATTTAAAGACACAGAAGGAACAAGAAGTGGAAAAAGTCTACAAATATTACAAGTAGATAGTATAAATATAATTGCAAAGAAAGAACCACGATAGACAATTGTTTTCTTACTGAATATTGTAGTTAGTATTGTAGTTTGAATATTTTACATGTTTTTGTATATTACATGTACTCTGTAGATTTTTGTACCTTCGATTTTCCAATAGACGCATAAACATCCAAATGCACAAACCAATTACCTTCGTGAAAGTATGAAACAGAATAATATCGTTTGAAAATTTGCAAGTACGATATCGAAGGGGAAATGAAAATTGAGAAAATCAAAGAGTGAGAATATTCGTCCCAAGTTCGAATAGAATTGAAAGATAAACGTATTGAAAGATTGAACGATGAAACGTATTTAAAAAAACTGTAATTAAAATGATTCCATGCAAATTTTGAGAGAAAATAAAATTGATGAACTTGGAGATTGAAAATATTGATAGTTCGGTGAATGAGAGAAAGAATTTTAAGGCAGAACGAAAACTGGAAGATGCGTATATTGTATATTCGTAATAATGATTAAACTATTTTGACTTACGACGATTAAGCGATAAAAAGTAACACCGATCTTAATCGCTATTCTTCAAAATGCTACTTAAACCAAAACATACAAATGCGGCCCACCAAATTCGCGAACGTAACGTGTTAGGTAACGCGAGGTGAGCACGTGGGTGCATTGCATTGCACTGAAACCAGTGTTTCTCGTACCTGTCCTTCGATCTGGGAAAATCCACCGATTCGAGAAGGGGAAGTCGGTTTCATTACAGGTGGTTTTCTGACCTCTTTCTTTGGACAAGATCCAGCGAAATGGCGTAACACTCCTTCGCGCTACTTCGTCAGTCGTTCTTCGAAGGACGTCTGCATTGTCTCCGACTCCTGAACCTAATGACTACAGCAATTTTTTTATTCTTATACGAAAATGATGAGTCGTTTCTTGCGAACCGCTCGCTCGTTTTACATATATGCGAATATGTTACGTATACCGTAAATATTTACCATTATTGAATATTCAGTTTTTTCAAATTTCATTTCCTTCTGAAATTTTTGACGAATCAATAAAATTACAGCTTTACAAATACGTTTCATTATCCAACTTTCTTCGATCTTCTTTTTTGACTTTCGCTTTATCTTCGATTCTTCTATTTTTCCCCCAAAATAGATAAAAGTGTCCTTGATTTAAAACGATTCTGATAAGCATAGAGCTATTACAGTATATTAATCGTTATCGATCAATTCAGGAACGATAAGTAATGTACGAATTTTGGTATTTTTATCCTCGCAATATCGCATCGATGTGTACACGTAAATAAATGTTATTTCGTGTTTCTTTATTAAAATAGAGCTAGAGTGAAAATTAAGTAATCCATAAAATTAGACCGAAAATTAAATAATCGTTGAAATTAAAGTGGACTAGTGTCAAGATTAAGATTTCCCTGCAAAATTTAACATTGAAATTCATTTTTTAAAATATGATTTATTATAATATAGTTTGCCGAGGACTAACTATGTATCATAAATGTTAATAACGTAGCGCGTAGGAAAGTTGACGTAATATTTTTGCTTTCTGTTAGATCTACGTACCATACCTACTTATTATGGAATTATTTCTACGTGTAACGTTTAAAATTACATAACTCTGATAAGTAGAGTTAAGTAACTTAATAAGGTAGCGTGTAAGAATTTGTAACTAGAAATACGTGAAAGTTTATAAACCCCATTGCAATGCGTCACAAGGCAAGCAATAAAATATACACTTGCAAATATTTAAGAAACCCGTAAAAAGAACGTGCCAATTATTCTTCACGAATCTTCGTCGTCGCTTTTCTTCGTTATCGATCATTTTCAAAGTTTCTGCATTTAAACAAAACTTTTTGAACGATCGTATTTCATTTAACACCGCGTCGTTATAAAATCGGGCAACGTTAAACGTTAGAGGAAATCTTTCTAGATGAAAGAAAATGGTCGAGCTCTCGGAAGCGACGTTTTCCGCGGTCTGGTGTAACCTTGTTTTTTTGGGGGAAAAAAGGTCGAACGAAAATCCAATGATCAAGGTCATTTTCACGAAGAACGCCGTCCCAACCACCGAGGAAATTCACTTTTCCTCCGGGACAGGAAGCCGGCAGCGTCTCGTAATTCGTTTTCCTTGATTTTTGCGCCGTGTCGCCGACCAACGATCTCGTCGATTAACCGTTTCATCGTTCCACGACGAAAGGGGACGCCTAAATTTGTTAGGTTCGATGGGAAAATTCTTTGTAACACCGCCACAGTGCGGCGTGCAGCGAAGAAAAATCAAAGTAATTATCGTTCGATGATATATCATCGGTCCGTGATATAAATGTAAACAATAATTCTTTCCAATATCGGCAGAGCGTAAAAAAATATCACGCGCATTATGTACGAAATAGACATGCATTTTTGCGCGAAAGAAATATTATCGCGAATATGTAGTTCGCTTTAAACCATTCATCTTTTTCCTCTTTCGTTTTTTCCTCGTACTGATCGTTTACGAGAAAAACGCTGGCTGGTAATAAAGCGAACACCCCATATACAATATAATATATTCATCTTTTGCTGCCGGCTGCAAAAGGAGCTCGATTTACATACATTTCTCATTCACGCTCTCGTGTAACCTCGATATACCCTAGAATATCATATACGCTTAAACTTACTCTTAATAAATAACAAATTGATAAATAATAACATAGTAAATTCATTGATACGGCAAATTAGAAGTAAATATTTGTGACTGCTAAATAGCTTGAGAATTGAAAAGACTAGAAAGATCGCAGGGCATACGAAATAACAATGGCAAAGAGTGACGTTCGCAATGTCGTGAAATTTCGATCTCTCCTCGAGGGATCTGGTTATAATGCATCGCGAAAGATCGACCAACGAACAAAGGCTCATAACGCGTGACCGAGTTGCGTTCCGAAATCCAGCTGGAACATCCGCTCCTCTTTTGTGTTCGATCGATCGATCCTCGTCCCTTTCCGGCGGATGCGCTCAATCTTCTCCATCTTCCTGTTCTCATTCTTTCTCGATCGTTAATTAGAGCAATTAAAAAGTACAAGAAAAAAAAAAGAACAAGAACAGGAGAAGAAGGAATGAAAAATAGAAATCTTTCTCGGTAACATTTGGCGTTAAAAACCTTATAAATTACAATATATAGGATATTTTTAAAAATTGGTCCCGTACTTCTGAAGCACGTAATACTCGCCAAAAGCAAGCAAAAAGACGTTCATATGCTTCGCTTCCAAATAATTTGTAGAAAGGTGGTTAACACCTTTTTGCCTTCCACGAGTATTATGGGAATTATGAGTAACGCTCGCGAAAGTTGACTCAAATTTTCTGAAACATACCGAATCGATTAAAATTAAATTTATATCTCTAAAACTGAAATTCGATGATTTTTAAAGTTAAATTTACCATCAAAATTAAATAATCCTCGGATGTCGCGTATTTGCTACGGTGATTGTAAAAAATGTGTATAACGAAGCAGTGACCTTGACCCAGACTATAGGAGACGAAGAAACATTTCTAGTTACGAAATTGGTGGAGGCTGAGACAACCTTGATGATCCTTCCGAGTATTATGTGTGTTGACCCTGGAAATATTTGAACAAGGTTGAGAACACGAGACTCGTTCCTTGAAAAGTTTGAATAATGACATTAATTACTAGCAACCTTCGATTTGAAGCGTGTAGAAGTAAATTAAAGGTGAATCGTGGAGATTTTTGTGTTATTGGAATCGCTGGGAATATCTTAGAAGTCGTGCGGAATTACGAGAACCAATTACAATTTTTAAAGATTTATTTAGGAACTTTTTAAGCTTATGATTGTCATTGTAAATTGGAGACATCCCAAAACTTAACTAAAATATCCGCAAGTTATCGATATTTCTAAAAAATATCGTTATCAAATGTCCCATTGTAAAATTCCAAATTTTCTAGGCTTCGAATAACAGATGAATAACCGTAATTCGGATAATAATTAATATCTTAGTATAGATCGAAATATCGCGATAAATATTCTGTATATCAAAAGAAAGTGAAAATAATATTGCATAAACTATTATATTATTGTCACGTAAATTATGTGCTGTAAGAAAGGTAGGCGCAGATCAAGTGAAAATTACGGCCGTAATTTTCGACCTAACAGGATTAATTGCGCATTACGTGAGCGGGGAAATTACGCAAGGCTAATCGAGCGTTCCTCGACTCTAGGGTACGGTCACATCGCACCGAAGACTAAGAACGGGAAAGTGGTCACCATATTCTATGCTATCGTTGGGATTCCCCTCATGTTGCTTTGCCTCTCCAACATTGGCGATATTATGGCTTCGAGTTTCAGGTAATCGATTGCGTAGAACGCAGAAAAATGCGCTTCATTTATACTTTCTAATGCTTTCGATGCTAAAACAACCAATTTCTAATGTATATTTAAATATACGCTCGTATCTCTTCGAGACAATTTTGTTCGTTTCCTTTCGTTACTATTATTTCGCATTGGATTACATAGAAATATATATATTATCGAATTCTTCTACGAATTAGCGTCACGAGAGATTTCAAAGCACGTTAACTACGAATGTAAAATGAAGACGCGAATGAAAATGTCGAGGAAAGAGAGAAAAGCAACTAATTACGTAAATATTTCTCAAGTTATTCTATATTCCTCGGATTTTATTAAAATATACGATCACTGTAAAAAAGAGTCTTGTCTATATGGATATTTTATTATTTTAATTGTTGTTTCTTTTACCTTTATTATGTCATTAGATTTTTATACTGGAGAGTTTGCTGTTACATATGCACGAAACCACCAAGAAAAAGGCGACCAAGAAGCCATTTCGTCAGATCATATTCCATGAAACAACCAGGGTATTTATTTAACTCGTGAATATTTTTTTGAGCACAATTACGGAAATAAAAACCTAAATGTATATAACCAGTGGTTTGCTTTCAACGTTTTTTTCTATACATTTTGTACTTACATTTTGCATATATCGGCATATTTAAATTCCATATAAATGCATAAACATCCGCATTTTCCTCATAAAACCATAATATTCTGTAACAAATACGTGCAATAAAAACATACTTTTGGAAAGGCGATACGGTGGAAGCAGGGGTGGCTTTGGAAGATCCATTAGGGTGAGCCAGAGATCTGCAGACTCAGCTCTGGGTTTGTCCGAAACCTTGACCAGATCATCGTACTTTGACGTAGATAATAAGTATGTTATGCACTTTTAATTTTCTCATTGTATTTAAAAATAATATCCTAATCACGTAGATTCTTGAAACGTTTTTAATACGGCGATAGTGAAAAGCCGTGTCATTTATTATTTGATAAAGCGTTCGATAGAGAATTTAGATAAAAAGAAATTTTCTTTAGAGAAGATTCCTTAAATATAAACAAAGAGAAAATTATTTAATTAAAAAAAATATCTACAATAATTTCTTCTTTTGTTTTCTTTGCTTCGATCGAGGTACAATGTACGTCGATACGAAGATTCGGAACTCAAGAGACCGAGCTCTTTTTATCCATCTTCGGCAAATCCAAATTTTGGATTTAAATCCGCGACAGTGTCCAGATATTCGGATTTACCGATGGTAAAATCAAGCAGAGGTATCTGAACCACATTCCGTGAAATTATCTGTGAGAAAATGAAAGAAAGAAACATCTCTAAATGACGATTGCGTTTAGCTAGCCCCAAGATGACGACGCAATCGTTAGACAGGAAGTTGCTAATGCGTTCGCCGAATGACACTGATCGTTCTCCGGTTTTGTGCAACCAATATGCATTGGATGATTTGGAGGATGAATTACGACGCTGGCACTCTTCCGCTGAAAACAAAACTGACTGTGAGTTGTAAAAATAATCGGTCAAAAATTAAATATAAATTATAACGTAATTAATATACTTTAAGATAGTTTTATAATGTAAATATATGTAATATTTACGATATAATTTATTAATCTTGTCAACATTGAATGTACGTGATTCATAGCAAATTTCTTCTTCTTTAATGTGACTGATAATCGACGATATAAGAAAATTTAAAGGAAAATTATATCGATCAGTCAAATTCAAAATTCAACTTAATAATAATATAAATAAATATATAATTTATAATTCGGAATATTTTATTTTTCTCCAGTAGAACTTTGTCAGGACAATTCTACATTCGTATATATAATAATAAAGGAGGAAAGAAAATTTATGAAAAATTTAAAATTAAAAAGAGAATTGAAAATAGGAGGAGGGAGTGATGGTTAATTCCCTGTCTAATAAATATGATTCTTTCATTTGCAGTAGGCAATACAAGCAAATCTCGGGTGGAACCAGAAGCGGCAGAAACCCTGGAAAATGTGGAGAAACAAGCGCCATTAGTGACGAGGTCGTTGCCCAGAAGATGCTTATCCATGGAAGGTGCGACTAGCAACTACAGGACGAACCTGGCACAGCCTTTACGGCCGTCGCCCACTTACTTGGAACTAGAGAACTCCAGAAGATCCCAGTTTTCAAGAAGTAGACGTTATAAAACTAATTATCCCACTGGTAAATAATTTCTCTTTTTCCAATTCTACTCGTTAGATTTATTTTTCTACTTCGCGTTTCCAAGTTGAAGAACTTTCAAATTCTCTAATTTATACTTATACATTTTTTTAAATCTTCTTCTACTATTCAGTTACTTCTGTAATCTATCTTAATATTTCTTTTCGTTCTTAAATTCATCTTTCTACGTTACAAATTCTATTTTTCTAAATTTATATTCTAATCCATGTCACATTTATATTTACATATTTATATCTCACATTTCTTACATTATTCGCTTATTTCCATAATATATTTTATCATCTTTCTATTTATTTATCTTTTTGATAAAATCATAACAATTTCTATGTAAATATTTACAACCTCTTGTTTCTTATCTATATCTTTATTTCATCTCGAATTTGTGTTTATTTATAGCTGTTTGCTATAATAAATTTTGTTTTTCCTTCTTGTTTTTCGACGAAGCTCGCTCTTATAGAAGAGACACATTGCCATCGGATATAATGTCCTCAGCTGGATTTTCTGCGCACAGACAAGTATACATAGACGATTTTGACTCAGATTATGAGTACCACGTAAACGACGATCAGGAAAGGCAGCCAATAAAGCCGGTACCAATATGGTTATGCGTCTTCCTGGTAGTTAGTTACATTTTTGGTGGCGCTTTCTTATTTAGCGCTTGGGAACATTGGCCATTCCTCGATTCTGCATATTTTTGCTTTATTACTCTCACTACCATAGGTTAGTACGGCTTTTCTTCTTTTCCGTTTTTATTTGGTATGCTTTTAGTATTTAATTAGTTAATAATTTAATATTTTTATCAAGCCTTACTTTGTGCGCGGTATTAATTTAAAGGCTCCACAGAAGTTTATGAAACTTGATGAACATTTTCATCTCCTTCGTTCTGCCAATTTCCGCTTCATTACTCTCAGAACAACTTCTTTCTCATTTTTAATTATCTAATTAGAATTTTTGCACTGTGTGGTGTTTGAATTACATCTTGCTTGTGTCTACGGCTCCGACTTAAAGATTTTAAATAACGTTATGAAGTTTGAAGCGTTTTATGAAATTGGAGAATTTCTTCTGCTTTGTTACTTCTTGCATCTTTGAAACTCAATAAAATTCTGTTCTTTTTTTTTAAATTAATTAGCACATTAGCAGCATTTGGTTTTTAAATTATTATGCTTATTATACGTATTAAATTATTGTTCTAATAATATTTCACAGCATTTGCTAATTTAAAAATTCTGAAACATTTGACGAAACTTCAATTAGAAAACATTTTATATTCTATTCTAATTTTAAATTCGTCTTTTCCATTGTTGGAATCGAATGAAAGTTGTCTCTTGATTCTGCGACATTCCCAAATCGCATCACGCATGCATTAATTATTTCTCTCTCACCTTTTCCTGCCAAAAGTTCTGCCTAATCGAACCTCTCGTCCCAAATAGCCACTCGATAACTTCCACACTTCTCTAAACACTTGTCATTCGATTCTGACGCATGAGAGGTTCATTCACCCTTTGCACACCGAAAGGTCGTTTACCTTTTCGTCATTGTACATGCATCATCCACTGGAAATTTGTGAATATTGATGTTATATATAAAATTTAATAGAAATTAATATTATAGAATTATTTAAGAATTATTATACGATTATTTTCGATATTACAGAATTATTATTATTTTTAAATTAATATTATACGATCTTATATAGCAGCAGAATTGCGCGTGCACTCGCTTGCACGACGCGATACGCTAAAACTACGTAGGAAGCAACGTAGGAAGTAAAACAAAAAACTAGGAAAATAATAACGTGCCCCATCTGTTCTTCCCGACTACGACTATCATCCCGATAAAATAAAATAAAAGGAAAAAAGCGAATATGATACTGGAAGTGCACATTTGATTCGCAGGATTCGGTGACTTCGTTCCAGCGTACAAGCTGGATGCGCACAAAGGGATCGCGGTTTGCTCGTTGTACTTGTTATTTGGAATTGCTTTGCTGGCGATGAGCTTTAATCTGGTGCAAGAGGAGGTCATCAACAACGTGAAGAACGTCGCGAAGAGGCTCGGGATCATCAAAGAGAGTGACGACGAGGAAGATGCCGACGACTACGACGCGTACGACGTCGAATACAACGACGAGGTTGACAACGAGCTCGAGGGCTACGTTCTCGATACTCCTCGATGTCACTCGATGACTAGGAACGTTCGCGGAATTTCCGACGCCTAGCCAACTTCCGACACCCGAATCTTCATTCATTCGCCAAATATACTTACCTTCCTTTCTCCAGTTTGTCCCTTTCTTCTTCATCTTTTCTCTTTCTTCTTCGTTTTCTCTATTCCCTTTCCTCTTCCTGTTTCGGTTGTTCTTCTTTTCTTCGTCCTTGGAAATTGGACGATGTCCGAACGAAACTGAAATGTCTGAACGTCTTACGATTGTATACTCTCGGTCAAAAATTTGCAGCAACTTTATTTCTGGAACGAAGCATGTTTTTGAAGAATGTAATCGACTATTGGCTTATTATTATTTGCAGACTGCGAAAGTTCATGCAAATTCACATCTTTATGAATACAGTTACAGGAATGGAACTTAAATAGAGGTTCATTTCATTGTCTAAGTATCATAACAGGTATTTTACTTTAAATATTTCGTATGTTTTTATATCTCATACGTATCACGATACTATTTCGCAACTCGAGTAACATGCAACAAACTGGAAAAACCCTTGCACCGAATCAGGGATTCCCCGGTCTAACAATCAACGTAATCGACACTCCAATCTTCCTTTCTCTAAGGCGCTGCTTTCCCATTCACTAACTTAAAAATCATAATCAACATTCATTATCATTCGTGATATTATATTTATATATGTCAAAACGTTCTGATTACAAAATCATCTTCTACTATTTTCTCAAAATTCCGCATTCAACTTTGTTATTATAATTTTAATTATGAATAGAACCCTAATTTATAATAACACTGTGTAAAACAAGTCACGAATGCAGTGAAGAATATAACAAAATTAAATATTTCTCTGGAAAATATTACTGTTCCTCTCAGAAATGTCCCCCTTTGTAAATATTCCAACGTGGATTACGATAACTTGATCCCTCTCGGCCAATGTACAAGTTACTTTATATCTGTTGAAAAAAACATTCGTTCATTATCTCGTATGACAAGAGAACCTGTCTGCATCCACTTTCTTTCCTACTAAAACATAATTTACTTTATTAAATATTCTTCGAATAAAAGAAAAGATACTAATAATTTAAAACATCGAGGATTTATTCATATTCCGTAGCATTTTCACCGATTTAACGATTACCCGTGACTGCTGGATTACGATAATCAATGATATTTCGAAAATTCTAAAGAGGATAGAAGAAACGCACTGTCTTTTACGTTAAATATAGCATTTACCATTAGTTAATCGTTTATATCAATTATGCGCTTTCATAAGTAACAAAATTAAGAAATCAATAAAAGGTGGAACAGCAGTTTATCCTCTCAGAGACACAAATCTTAAAACCGCTTTTGTATAAAAGAAAAGAAAAGAATAGCAAATGTAGCAAGCTCTTTCGCCGAAGTCTTCGTACATGCACAAATTCAAAATACATAAAACGAAGTCTCAGCAGGTGTCGTAATACCAACGAACGGTAGCATACTTACAAGACACAAGTACGCAAGAAATCGACGCCGGTGATAAATTTCAAAGGCGTGACGGAGACGTTCCGCGCGGTCGCATCTATAGGGTGTCCAGGAAGTTGCCAGTCGAGCAGGTCCAGCCCCGTTGAATTCGGTTATTTTTAGCGAAACGCTATTTTCAGTTCGACGTCTACGAAGCGAGTAGCAAGGAATCAGTGCACGAGAGAGCCTCGTGGTGGTTTGGCTCGGCTCGTTTTCACGCAATTATCCATGTGGATCGTGAAACACACGCCATTAGACTCTTCCGGGAAATCGAATGCCATCGAGTGTCACGAAACATTTTAATAAAATAAATTCTGAAATAAATTATTTAGATAAAATAATGTCAAGTAAATTATGACGTTGAATGGTTCGATATATGAAAGTTATTACATTAGTGGATTTTAAGTTACACAGAATTAAACATAGCCGATTAAAGGACAGTTCTTACGGCGAATAAAATTGGAGTTCGTGGATTTTGTTAACGCTTTGTGATTAGCGAATTTATAATTGAAAATTTGTGCAAAGAAATAGATGTTTGTTTCCAGAAGAATTGGCAGTAGATCGTAGAACGTTGTACCTTTTGGAGATTCGTAGTTTTCTTGGAAAAGATATATTTAAATTATACGTAAAATTACACTTTAATTTTGTTTAAATTATAGAGATTCGATTTATCTTTAAGAAGAAAGCGAAGTAAAAGTGAAATAAAGAAAATTATCTTTTTTTTCTTTGAAAGAATTATTATGTTTTTCGATGAATGATTAAAAATTGATAATAACTTTGATGTAAACAGAAAGCGTGGATTTCAAGAAGAGCCGTGATTCAATTGTTCTTGACAATTATCAAAATCGGAAACATCGTGCAACATGTAAGAAGATTCACAAGGAAGAGGAATTGACGTGTCTTCTGGGAGAAAAATGATTTACAAAAAGAAACGTGCAAGTCCAAGAAGAATGGATTCACGCAGCACGTGTCAACACGTGGCGAGTCGTCTCGACAGTGTGTCTGACTCAAAGGCACAGGCTAGTCTATATTTAAAACGCCACGAGGGTATCTAAGTCACTCTGAAAATTCTGAAAACCCCAAGAAAGCGAGGAAGAAAGAAGAAGCAAGAAAGCTAAAAGGTGACGCAAAGATAAAATGCAATACGTAATTCGAATAACGCTCGAATAGCTTCGATCCATAATTTTGCTTGCAAAAGGATTTCCAAAAATCCTTCGAATCTCCAAAGAATCAGTACGACAAAGCTGATCCACCTTAACGCAAGAAGTAAGATGAAAAGGCTGATAACCTGGACGACTAATTTCAAGTGATCGAAAGCGAACGAAACGAAATTTTCAAAATCAAAAAAGACAGACGACACATCGAAATCTCTAAAATACGGCAGAAGCCAAATAAAGCAAAGGACAGGCATAGGTGCGAATCAGAGAAAAACGATAGGAAGGGAATGGAAGTGCAAACCAAAGGGGAACAACTTGGATTAATAAGAGTGATCGAAAAATTCAAGATCGGACGATAAGATAAACGGGATTTTCGCTTCTCGAGAAATTGATCGTTCCTTCGGCGAAACGTATACTACGACCTGACAATAGATTTCGTTAAACTCGTTTTCGATTCTTGGCGGGTCGTGGACGAAGTCGATAGCAGGAGAGAGGTTGTGCATTCGAACGATATAATCCAGAAAAAGGCAGAAGGGACAGGACGACTGGCGATACTGACGTTTCCTATTAAACGGGACCGTGTAATTTTGCTATTGCGCCGGGTCAGCGATCGCGTATAATCGGCGCTCCCCTTTTTAGCATTCTACCGTGTTCCTCCTATTAATTTATCTGGAACGGATCGCGGAGGCCAGAGGTAAGGCAGACTTTTATTCGGAAACGGCCGGTCGGGGGATCGTCATGCGGGCGGACCAAGAGAAATTGGACCTTCTAACCTAAACGAGTACGTTGACGAATAGGGCGTTCGCTTTCGAATGCCTGAAAGCAATGCATGTATACTATCCTTCGAGAGTATACGAATACACTCGCATATTCGTGATAAGATACATCTCAGTTGCCAAAGCAGGAAGTTAAGATAAATTAAGATGATAATAAATAAAAGGATAAAAAGAACAAGGAAATGACAAAGAATATCAAGTATTATATGTAAAAATTAACAGAGTGAATAAATTGCCAGTATGACTCCGAAGCGATTGCCTGTTCTTGGCAATTTACGATATAATGTACCTGTAAAATAATACAACGTGTATGATATATTGTTATATAACACAATATATGTATTTAAAATGTATTCAGATAATATCTTGCCTATTCTTGATCAGACAATCGAGGTTGTTAAAATAGGAAGCAATAAGCATGAACAATAAATAACGTTGCATGTAAAAATGATCATATAACGTTGAAAGAAATAGGGAAAACGATAGGAAACATTAAATATGTAATATTCAACGGACAGGTAGATTACGAAAATGATTTTGAAACAATGTCTGTTCTCGACAGTGCATATCATTCGGTACGATATAATAAACTATCGTTCAGAATCTAAAAGACGTTTGATACCGAAGCCGACAAGATCATAATCGTAAACTTCTTCTTCTAACTCGAACCAAACTTAAGAGCATAATTAACAAATTGTATAATACGTAGAGAAAAAGAGGAAGACTCTTAAACCTCGTTCCATAGAGTCGTATAGCCAACTAAAAGCCGGAAGAAGGCCAAAACTTGGAGCATACGTTTACTCTGCTCGTGTTACGGAGAAATGAAAAGGGTGGCCCCGAGCTCACGGTCGACACGGTATATGCCTGACTTCTTTTTTTATTTTACGACTGCCACCGAAATACTTTCGTAATGGTGCACGCTGGGCTAGCGTCGCGACGCGGCGTCGGGTATTTCACGCATGTTAGATCTTCGTCGCGTCCAACCGCGACAAACGACCTCCGTCATTACGCAGGAAACTTCGAAATTACGTCTGTTCCCTCGCGTTTGTTACATCTACGATCGGTTCGTTAACCTGACAAACTGACCTCTTAATAATCTCGAAATGGCTACCTTTTACCTTCAACTTTATTTATTAGATAATCTTATAAGGATTGTCGACCCTTGAAGAAATTTTCTAGTAGACGTTCGAAGAAGAGAGATAGCTTGCTTTCTCAAAGACCCTTGTACATAAAAGTTCGATGCTTTATAACGTTTAATTCTCCGTAATAAACTATTTCTAGATGAAATCGCCGTAACAAACTACCAATATCTCTATGACTTGAGCAAAGATATAAAGAAAAACAAAGAAAATCTAATAAACCCTAGTAAAATTTCCGTTGCAAATTTCAACAATTTTTCTACAGTTATAAACCGCGATAAGTACAGGCAATATTGGCAGCGACCAATACATCCAATGCTTGAACCATATCTCCCTCAGAAAGGCAACATTAATAAAGAAAGAGAAGAAAGTCTTTCGTAAAAACCTTCTAAATTGAAATAAGATCCGTCTTTGAAATCTCACCAATTTCTCTACAGGTACAAAACGTCATAAACAATAATACACCACCATGTACGTGGAATGCTCGTAGCGGACCGCTCTCGAACGGTTCGATAGAGTCAAAGTCAGAAGCGAGTAGAACGAGCGTAAAGTGTGAAAGAAAAGGCAACGATATCTCGAGTGGTCGGATGCCGGATGAAAGATGGAAGGGGATCGAGCATCGTATTCGACGTCCAACAGAAACTGGCAGCGTGGAAATTATCGGGTACGCGGCGGAAGGCGAAGAAAACGAAGACGGAAGCCGTGGGGCGAGAGGATCGCGGACTGGACCAGGGCTCTGATAGCCTTCCTCTTCAGCAACGTCGGTATAGTGTGCCTGGTGGTCGGATATACCATAGCCGGGGCCTTCCTCTTCACCCACATCGAGGGTAGAAACAACCTGGACATCGTCGGGAACGTGATCAGGTTGAGGAACGTGACAGCTGCCACCCTCTGGGAGCTTACGTCCAAGGTAGCCACTTTTTCTTTTATACTATTTCCGTTTCATGGTTTCGAAAGAAAATTTTACTTCAGTTGGTTTTAGTAGGTGCGAGAATTGTGGTTGACAATTTTTCTTCAACCAATGATTTATGGATTTAAAGAAAAAGGTTTGCGGAAAGGAGAAAAAGCTTCCAATATCTTTGTAAATTTCCGTACAATATTATAGCGCGTTATAATATCTTATAAATTCTTATTAACAATCTTTCTGGACTTGTCGGTAACCTTCGATTTGAGGATTTTCAACTTTTTCATTAACGTCTTAGAAACGTTTTTACGGCAATTAAATCTGGTTCATAGATTTGTGGCATAAAATGGAAGTATTTGGGTACTACGTATATAGGTAAATTTATCGTTATTAAACAAGTACAATTTCCTTGCTGCGTAGTTTAATGTAAAAAGTACGTTTTAAAA